AACAAAATTGAAGAATTAACCAATTGAAACACTGGTACAGTGTCCTCTAAACATTCAAGCGAAAGTCATTAAATGAAACCTAGAAAATTATTAAGCTTACTGAAGAAAGGAGTCAAGTAAGTAAAATCCAGAGTTGTCAGCTTGAGCTTGAGTGCTTATTAGACCTACCAAGTCATAAGACCTGAATGATCACAGCAACCATCTATCGTATAATGGATGCAATATGTTTTAGAGGCAAGAGAAAATTGCAAACAGACAAAAGTAGGTGAATGAACAGTTGGACAGTCCCTACGATCCTGATTGCCTCTCTCTCAGCTGATATATACAGTCTCCTAGGCCTTTACCAACCAGCTTGATAACTTGTGTAAACAGCCAGTCTTAATTACAAGGACACTTAGTTAGCTATATGGCACAATTGTCAACCACCCAGGATGCAGGACCTCAAATGTAATCCATGAGGGTAAACTACTCGCATAAGTGGATACATATGATTCATCCACATCCATAGAAAGGGTTCAGAAAACAAGGAGGCTGGCCCTTGATTTAAGAGCTTTATCTTCCCATAAGGGGCAGTTAGTCAAGACATTTGTTAAAAAAAAACAACAAAAAGGAAAAATTTTGGAAAAAGTAAATTTTGCTCAATCCTTATGCCTTATCCATTCTTTTCTAGACAGGTCAATGAGCCCAGGATTATTTAAACAACGAATCTCCCAACATCTCCAGATTGGTGCTCAAAATAAAGGGTCTGAGTTTCTATCTAAAAAGATCTAATGATTAAAACCCTGGAATTCAAGTTTATTCTCCCACCAGCTTCTGGGTATTTGGGAAAGCAGACTACACTAAAAGAAACGACTGCAGGAATTCATGTCAAGATTTTATTTTACCACCAAACAAACCTAGGCATGGATCTTTGCATCTCGCAAGTGCTTTCTGAATGTTTGGGGAAGGAATAGCATAAATATTCATGAAACTCTAAGAAATTCACATATTGTGGTAGCTGTGATAGCCACATGGTCCCAGGATATTACTTTAGATAACATATGTATCCTTTCAGTTACGAAGACATTTTCTGTTCTTGCCTTAATCTCAATCTCTTTATGACTGTGGCTTCCTCAGAGACAGAGTGAGACAGAGGCTCAGTTCTCTACCCCTAGAAGAATAACAGTGGTCGGGTTCTTCATGTCTCTATGGAAATCATGCTGGTGTAAGGGAAGCCTTTATTTTCTCATGTGTTACACAAAGCTCTCATGACAATTGGAAGGTACTCTGCGGAGGTGATGATTAATAAAACCTTCCCTTCTCAAAAGCACTTGAAGAGGCAGGAGCCTTCCTTGGCAGTTCTCAGATGGGCAGCAAAGTTCCCAGCACCATCAGTAAACTCAGCCACATTGTAGAAATGGTTGCCTTTTCTGTATGAAGATTATCTACGTTCTTACACAGCAGTCATCTCTAGACACCTGGATGTCCTAACTGCCTTTGTGAGTTCTGGTCAAATATAATTTAATGTCATTTTCATTGTTTGTTTGCTTTTACCGTCACACTTTAATATCATGCAAAAGTACATTTCTACTCTCTTAGTGCTCAAATTTTGCTCACCAACAGTTTTAGATAATAGGATACTATGAGTAAAATATGTTAATAGATATCAGCATATTATCCATCAGTATATTAATACATTAAAGCAACCAATATGTTCACGGTATTTTGACTGGTAGCTTTTTTTAAAGTTGAAGAAATATCTGTGTGCAAGTGACTCTGGTAAATGTTTCACATTAACAAAAAAGACCAGCACTTTCTTTCTTTAAAAATTGTTTTTTCGTATAATTACTATTTCTTCAATTTTTTGAAAGAGATGAGGTCTCTATGTTTCCCAGGCTGATTTCGACCTTCTGGGTTCCAGCGAACCTCCTGCCTCAGCCTCCCAAAGTGCTTAGATTACAGGCATGAGCCACCAAGCATATCTCAGCGATTTATTTTTAAAAAGGCTTAAAGTGTCACATACAGAAGCTCATCAGGTTAACAAGTGTACAGATGCTTGTTTACTTATTATACACAATCTTATGAGGCCGCACAATCTGAGCAATGATTAGGAGCTCAAAGTTTAGATCCAATCTCAGGATAACATGAAATAAATGAGAAGAAATCAATAAATAACTGCAAATTACTTTATTTTCTTCAGCATAAGCATGACACTTATCCTTGGAATGGTGGTAGGAAAAGTCCAATGCAAATGAGATACTTTTTAGTTGGTTTTGCGGGATTAAATTTATAATCTTATGGACATTTAAATGGAGGATTATTGTTCATCCTTGCTATCTCCAAGATGATATAATTTTACATTAAAAATGAGAATAAAATTTAAGCAAAAATGACAATAGCATGCTTATGCTAACATTTTAATTGTGGGATCAAGGAAGCCTAAGTTCAATCAGAGAATTCAGAGACTGTTTCTGCAGCATTCCTCATAAATTCATCTAACTATTGCCTATCGCCTGCATAGACAATGCTTAAAACTATGTATGCCAGAGGGTTTATCAATAGTAAGCCCAAATCCAACAAAACGTAGTGATTCTGTTTTCGTGTTTAGATAATGACACAGTGCAAATCTATTCAGTCATTCACATAAAAGGTCATCTAAATATTGTGGAAAACTAAATAACAAAAAATTAGATTCTGGGCTAAAAAATAAGTCTTAACACTTGGATATGAAAAGATTTTGTGAGATATTTGCTGTGGAGGTGATGATCAGTGCAAGAGTGGAAAGTGTAAGAGGTGAATGACCACTGGTGTATTTGGCTGACGGTTGTCTAACCTTAGTACAGCCTGCCCTTAATTAAACCTTCCAATTTAAGATTAAACTTAATGCGGTTTGAAGACTTTGACATGTGTATCAGTCAGTGTTCATTGTTTCTGAAACACAGTAGAGAAAAACTCTGAATAATAGGACCAAGGAAAAGAAGAATTTATTTGAAGGATATGAGATAGTTCACTAGATCCAACAAAAACTGTGTATTAGATTAACATGTGATATTCATCCCTGAGAGGACTGAGCCATTTAAAAAAAAACAAAACACAAAAGAATATATTAATATGTGACATGTTTATTTTGAAATTTTAGCCTTTATTAAAAAGTTAACATAATAAAAAAGAAACCTATGTATGTGTGTGCGTGCATTTGTTTTTCTTTTCTTTTTCTTTTTTTTGGAGCCAGAGTCTCGCTCTGCCCAGGCTGGAGTGCAGTGGTGCGATCTTGGCTCACTGCAAGCCCCCCATCCTGGGATCAAGCAATTCTCCTGCCTCAGCCTCCCGAGTAGCTGGGACTACAGGTGCAACCGCCGCGCCCAGCTAATTTTTTGTATTTTTAGTAGAAATGGGGTTTCACCTTCTTGTCAATGGTGGTCTTGAATTCCTGAGCTCAGGCAATACGCCCGCCTGGGCCTCCCAAAGTGCTGGGATTACAAGTGTGAGCCACTGCACCCGGCCTGCATATATTTTTTAAACATTTCTATTAGCATTACCAAATGGTCTTTAAGCATTCATTTAAAAACACAAAAACTCACTGCGGCTGCCTGTGAACCCTTTTCTAATTCACCAAAGAGTGCCAAACAAGTTAAAATGAATCTGTTTTTAAACACTTCTCCTAAACCATGAGCATTAACTTGATTTCCTCTGTCATAGGGATATGGGAGACAATCTAACATCCATCACAGAGTTCCTCCTGCTGGGATTTCCCGTTGGCCCAAGGATTCAGATGCTCCTCTTTGGGCTCTTCTCCCCGTTCTATGTCTTCACCCTGCTGGGGAACGGGACCATCCTGGGGCTCATCTCACTGGACTCCAGACTGCACACCCCCATGTACTTCTTCCTCTCACACCTGGCGGTCGTCGACATCGCCTACGCTTGCAACACAGTGCCCCAGATGCTGGTGAACCTGCTGCATCCAGCCAAGCCCATCTCCTTTGTGGGCTGCATGACGCAGACCTTTCTCTTTTCCACTTTTGCTGTCACAGAATGTCTCCTCCTGGTGGTGATGTCCTATGATCGGTACGTGGCCATCTGCCACCCCCTCCGATATTTGGCCATCATGACCTGGAGAGTCTGTATCACCCTAGCGGCCACTTCCTGGGCCACTGGAGTCGTTTTATCCTTGATTCATCTTGTGTTACTTCTACCGTTACCCTTCTGTAGGCCCCAGAAAATTAATCACTTTTTTTGTGAAATCTTGGCTGTTCTCAAACTTGCCTGTGCCGATACCCACATCAATGAGAACATGGTCTTGGCCGGAGCAATTTCTGGGCTGGTGGGACCCTTGTCCACAATTGTAGTTTCATATATGTGCATCCTCTGTGCTATCCTTCAGATCCAATCAAGGGAAGGTCAGAGGAAAGCCTTCTCCACCTGCTTCTCCCACCTCTGTGTGGTGGGACTCTTTTATGGCACAGCCATTATCATCTATGTTGGACCCAGATATGGGAACCCCAAGGAGCAGAAGAAATATCTCCTGCTGTTTCACAGCCTCTTCAATCCCATGCTCAATCCCCTTATCTATAGTCTTAGGAACTCAGAAGTGAAGAATACTTTGAAGAGACTGCTGGGAGTAGAAAGGGCTTTATGAAGAGGATTATAGCATTGTGATTGACAGTGACCTAGGAAGTTAGTTACATCGTTGGGCAGTTCTTAATCCAACTCTGTACTGGTGTGACCTCTGCTCTCAGTGGACATGAGAATTATCTGAGACATTCATTTAAAACAGAGCTATCTCCTGCCTTATCTTTGAATGACTGATTCAGCAGATGTGGGATGAATTCTAGAAATTTATCTCTTCAGATCGTGCTGCAGCTTCTCCACACCAGGACAATACCCCTTACAATATCCTCATTAGCTTTTGATCCAGTCCCATAGCTCCCAGAATGTTTTCCTCAAAACACTGGTCCCTTCAGAGAACTTTAAAAATAAGTTCTGTGGTCAAAGAAGTTTGAGACTTACTTCCCATCAGATGCCTCTGTCTAGGGATCACAATTCATATTAGCACAGTGAACGCTGTAAAAACTTCTCTAGGAAAGAATAATTCTATTCCAGCTTTAAGCCAGTGTTTTCTAAACTTATGTGAGCACACAAAATTTCCTTTGTAATACTTAGTAAGAGTTTCCTGGAACAGGAGATCCTGATATTAATGGACTCGTTGTGAATACTTCCTACAGCCCCCTTCCAGGGCAGAATGATTTTTTTTTCCTTGCAAAGTGAGCCTCTAAAGAGATGTAGGTCTGAGCATTATGCCTCGATCAGTCTGTAAAAATCTGGGCTCTGTTTGGATACAGACCGTGAGGGACCCTGTCTCTACTGTTCAACGGTGGATCATCTAAAAAAAATAAATCGAACCCTGTCCATCATGGATCAGCATTCCTAGTATAGAAGCTTCAGGAGTGACCTCATTCAACCTCACAATCTTCTAAGTTTGAAATTTTTTAAAAATATAATTCAGTATACATCTTCCTGTATTTGCCACTGAATGAAATCAATCTAATTTTTCTAACTCAGGGTTTTCAAGATAAACCCAAATTTCTCAAAAAAGAAAAATGTAGAAAGATTTCAAAATCCACCACCTACACACTTAAAAGTCATAGCAGCTTCCTGTGCCATGGGAAACATGTCATTTTGAGATGATATTTTTTCTAGGTTTAAGTTTGGTCTTAAACATTTATATTTAATTTCTTATTGTCTTAGTTCGATGAATTTACTTTTATATCGTAAAATAGATTTTTACACAATAAGTGAGTGTCGTATCATGTTAGATATAAAACTATGTTCCAAAACTATATTATACTGGTTTTTTTTTGTTTGTTTGTTTGTTTGGTTTTGTTTGGTTTTGTTTGAGACGGAGTCTTGCTCTATCGCCCAGGCTGGAGTGCAGTGGTACGATCTCGGCTCACTGCAACCTCTGTCTCCAGGTTCAAGCAATTCTCCTGCATCAGCCTCCTGAGTAGCTGGGACTACAGGGGCGTGAAACCATGCATAGCTAATTTTTGTATTTTTAATAGAGACAGGGTTTCACCATGTTGGCCAGGCTGGTCTCGAACTCCTGACCTCAGCTGATTCACCCGCCTCGGCCTCCCAAAATGCTGGGATTACAGACATGAGCCATCCTGTCTGGCCTATTTTATACTTTTTATAGTATTTATATAGTATAAAAATAGTTTTAAAACTATACTATGGCATACTTTTCATAAAATAGGTTAAAAAGTAGACTATAGTATAATTTTTATACTATATACCATATTATATTTTTATAACTGTTGTTTCCATTTGCTACTAACTTTTTCTTTTGTATGTCAGTTTCCTGATTTCTACATTTTCTGCAGGTCACCTGCAACATAAAAAGAAAAAGAAAAGCTGTAATATTGATGGGTGGCCTACTGTGCAACAAGATTTCCATATAGTGTTTTTGGTGTCCTTACATGTATGTTTCTTCTCGCGGTGGATGTGTAGTCAGAGCACAGATGGGCATACTCCCAAACCTTAATAACTGTGCCAGATTGTCCTCTGAGTTTATTCTAAACCTTAGGAAGTCAGAGACCACACTATGGAACTAACTTCTTTCTAAATTGCATGACTGACTGATAGGAGATTTCCAAATAACATTTTGACTGCCTCACATCCAGGAAAAGAACTCAGCAAAATACAAATAAATATGACAATATCTTAGACAGGAAATCTTCTCATCCCACAAGAGGCAGGAAACTGCTAGAGGAAGCTACCTTGGAGAGGATTCTTTCCTCCCCTCCCGAGAGGAGCTGAACTCAAAATCTCTCCATTTCATAATAGACATTAGAGGAAACATTTCCAGCAGTGGATTTGCACTGGTGTTTTGTCCCCTAGAAAAACGTTTCCTTCGGGTAGGTTCTAATAAGCCCCATTGGGACACTTTGGATTTCCCTGTCTGCTCTCTGCCTCTCTATCCTTAGAGGGTCACTTGGAATCAACTCATATTTCAGGTTCTCTCTTCCCATTTCTGCTGCCACACAAGGAACCCAGATTACATCAGAGAGAAGCTGAGCTCCAGAGGTTCACACCAGGAGCTTACTCATTGCCACGCTGTTCCTGCTTCCTGACAGGTTCACTTGAACCATCTGGAGATTGGGGAACAAGGGCAGTGTGGGTATTCATGAAATTCAAATAATGCCAAGCATTCCGGGATGGTAATGAGAGATGTTGTCTCAGAGGTGTGCTCTGTGGCTGTCTGGGTTTCTTAATTGTGCATCCTGCTGGGGTTAAGAACAGAAATAGAAAATGACAATTGTCTTGCCTCTCCTTCCTTCAGGAGGTGAGCATGCAGGAGGTTTCACAGCCCAGTCTCTACAGAGAGCCCTGAACTGCCAACCAGACTGAGCCCATCAGAGAATAACACCTCCTTTGCTGAGGATTCTCATACATTTTCAATCAGAAACAGAAGCAAAGATTCTGCAGCTCCCACTGAAACTCCCAGAAACCTTCAGGTGCTTCACCCTTCTGAGATCCTTGAGTCCAAATGTGGGAGCTAATCAGATTGCCTTTCTTTACTTTACCATGAATTCCTCTTAGACATGTTGTAGCTCCTAGGCTTTGGTTAACTCTCACTCTGTTACTGATGCTTTTTATTAAGTATTGAGAAGGGAAGTAAATTATTTCTTTTACGGCTAAACATATATGGTCATCATTCATATTATATATTAATGGTTCCAGGGAAAAAATAGATGCACATTTGATGTGCAAATTATGTAAAAGTGTTTAGGACTTGGCTATATATGTTTCTTTGGTGAAGAAATATCTATGTGATAGAGATTTATTTGGGAAAGATGACACTCACAAAAGAAGTCAGAAATTGCTGTTTCCTAGATTTCGCTAAAATGTACAAAATAATTTTCCCAGCCAAAGGAAAGTATAGCACAGTATATTATGGAGGGATGTTACATCTCAGGAAAATTAATACATGTCAGCTGTTTTATGCATTTAATTATTGTCAGTACAGTCACAATACATGCTAATCTATGAGAATGTATTTAGTGCAATGAATATAAACCCAAATGATGCTAAATCAGTGTCTTATCTTAAATTGAGCATGGCACTAAAGAGGGCATAAGGCACCTGGAATGTACTAAATAAATATGTATAAATATTAGATTTTCCATAGACTGGAGGATAAGTTTTTGTGGTGCACATGGAAAGAGTACAGAAGAAGAACTGAGGTGAGAAGGGTGGTGTAATAAAGTAGGAAAATGATGTAATAATTAATAATACCTTAAGTTTTCTTTTCTTAGGATTTTTGTTTAATGTATACTTTTTTATGTATTTCTGCTTTTCCTCCCAAGGCACATCTTCACAATGAAATCTTCACAAGCTCAGAACCATCAACTTGCTACACTGTGCTCCTCCAGCGCCCAGTTCACAGGAAGCACTCAAGAGTAGGATCAATTGTTATCAGCCTTTACCAGATTATTGAATAGACAGTAGTTACATGAAACTGACACTCAGTTCTTCATGGCCCACGATAGTTCTTATATCCAGAAAATTTACTTAGATTATCAACTATGACTCCATAAGACAACTTTGCGAAGTCTTGGCTCATAACTATGTAAGCAATAAGATAAGTCAGTTTTCATTTCTCGCTTGTTACTTACAAGTAAATAGCCCTGCAGCTCAGATGAGCTACAGATTAACTATAGGTAATCACTTTAGCGATTCTGCTTTACCCATGCCCAAAATGTTAGAAAAGAACCTGACAGATCATTAAATTTTGAGATTTGCTTTTTAAAATGCGGGTTCCATAAAGTTATGTTGTTTTGCTTATATATAAAGAAGCAAATGCCTTCTTAGATACTTACTTTAAAATTCTAGTTTCCTTACCATGTATTAACCAGATAATCTGTCATTTTTTAAATTCTGAAATTGTACATATATAATGTACATCTCTGTGCCTGAAAGCTACATTTGGAATTAGAAGGTGTGTCAAGGTAGTGCAAAATCACCCAGTCCATTCCTTCCAACTCCCTAGAAATCTACTCTGTTTGGTTTCCTCTTGATGGTCTTTAATTAACATTAAGTATATCACATAGGTATCAAATAAAATTTAAAAAAAGATAAAAGAGAAGTGATTCAAAATTCAAGTGTTTAAACACTTCATGAATCCTCCCGTTGTTCTTGACACATTTTTAAAATTTCATTTTAATTCAGATCATTAGGGATGAAATTCTTCTGAACTGTAGCATTTTATTTCTTTTGGGAGGAAGGGGCTAAACTTGGCATAATTATATGAGACTATACTATAAAAGAAACCAGATCTAATATAAGGACATCCATACTTAGTTATTAATTCATTTGCTTATATTTATGTATATGTCATTTGACAAATGTGTATTAATATACACAATTAAAGGGATATAAAAATGAACATGCCCCCTCCATTTCTTTAAAAGAAATCAAGACTGAATCAAACAGGTCTTCTGTTCTGAAAGAATATGCAGACTATCAGGTACCTTATTTTCCTTCTTTTACACCTGTCTTTCAGTTAGCTTCAAAAAATCATGGTTTTTACTGTGTTTCTTTTTTCCTTTATGTCTTTCTTTTGAGGGAAATGAAAAATTGAGAAAGGAAATTATTATTTTATAAGTGGGTAGGTTTGTATACATCTTTCACAGTCAAATATTTTTCTATGCCTTATGAGTTTAAAAAATAAATTTAGAAAGTTTGATAAACACGTGAATTTTTTATTTTATGTTATTTTATGAGACGAGGGCTTGCTATGTTATCCAGGCTGTCCTGGAACTCCTGGGCTCAAGCTATCCTCCTGCTTCAGCCTCCCAAGTAGCTGGAACTACAGGTGCATGTGACGGCGCCTACTGAGAAATTTTTACTATCAACCTAAAATTTAGTAAGTTCTGGTCACATGTGAGGAATGTTTAATATATTATTTAGATTATTTTTGTGTCAAGGTAACTTGATCACCTATCAATAATGCTTATAAGAAAATAGATATCTCATCTGTTGCTGTTAGAAAGGATCTGTCTCTTTCCGCAATTCTTGCTTCAATGAGGTTTTCTTGACCCAGAGTCTGGTCCTCACATTTTAGATTCAGCTTTAGGAATTTTGTTCAGGAACTGCATCACACTACCCAAAATCAAAAGAGGAAAATGCATAAGCCAGAATACCTAAACATTCGTTTATTTAAACTTCAAAATGTGACTGCAAAAGGAGCCAAGAACTTTACTACTCAACACATTTCTTCTTTGTAGAAATAACTGCTCAAGAAGATAAATTATTACCTAACAGTTAATTGATGAATATGAAATCAGAGCAAGAGGGGCTAATTAGAGATTTTACTAGCTAGGGCTATTTACCCAAACCATCTATCCAGACTGTAGACATAGAATCACCAGGTGACTAGGATCCTGGGGCAGCTGGTTCCCCTTTTTCCTTACCCTGAATGTCATTAAGGATGCATTGCCAAATGCTGCCCCTCTGGCCTGATGACTACACTCCGTATTGGTTACCTGCCTTCTTTTTCCTACAGTCTTTCTCCAGACAGGCACACCATACAACTGACTACACTTGGGCTCACTGAATGAATCACATTCTTCTGCTCTGCCTCCCAGAGATTTCATCAAAGCACCGGCAGTGGCCTTCTGGAAGCTCCTCAAACTCTCCACTCACATGTTTCCTGCAAGTGTAGTGTTTCTCACCTCTAGATTGTTATTCTCATCAGTTACATGTGAGTTTCACAAATTGATTTCTCAGAGTGCAGGTCTGTCTCTTACATCCTTGGGAAACACTGCTTAATATCCCAACTGGTATTGACAACAATTAAACTAGGCACTGGCCAAAAACAGTGCCTTTCCTCACTTTAATCTCAGTAAAGTAGATAAGCCTCGAGTTATTTTGTTATTGCAATGGCACTGACAAATGTTTGCACCAAAAACCATGTTGAAGTTCGTTAAGGAAACTGTGATCCAAGATTCAAGGTGAAGAAGACAAATTCATCAATTCAGCACACCACCAATTCACAGGCTAAGCATCTTACTGTGAATTCGTTGATGCTGCCATTTGTCAAGTGCCAAACTGAATTACTGATTTGTCAATAATTTCTTTCTGTTGGTTACTTAGATAGTATATTGCAATTCTTGTTGCTGAAATTAGCTACCCTTTTTCTATTCGAAAAATAATTTCTTGCATTTGGGATTTCAGGTATAGCGATTGTTACAAATATGAAGGACTGAATTAACAGCAAGTTTTCAAGTAAAACTTTACTTATGTATAACTGAATGAGTTATTGAAGACATTTACTAACAATTTTCCACAAACTAAAAATTTATAAAACAATAAATAAAATAGACTTTTTTAAAAGTGTGTCACATAGTTGCTTGTTTTTTTGTTTGTTTGTGTGTGTGTTTGTTTGGTTTTTTCACTAGTGAAATGGTGAAAAATCAGACAATGGTCACAGAGTTCCTCCTGCTGGGGTTTCTCCTGGACCCAAGGATTCAGATGCTCCTCTTTGGGCTCTTCTCCCTGTTTTATGTCTTCACCCTACTGGGGAATGGGACTATCCTGGGGCTCATCTCACTGGACTCCAGACTCCACACCCCCATGTACTTCTTCCTCTCACACCTGGCTGTCGTCAACATCACCTATGCCTGCAACACGGTGCCTCAGATGCTGGTGAACCTCCTGCATCCAGCCAAGCCCATCTCTTTTGCTGGCTGCATGATGCAGACCTTTCTCTTTTTGAGTTTTGGACATAGCGAATGTCTCCTGCTGGTGGTGATGTCCTACGATCGTTATGTGGCCATTTGCCACCCTCTCCAATATTCCGTCATCATGACCTGGAGAGTCTGCATCACCCTGGCCATCACTTCTTGGACATGTGGCTCCCTCCTGGCTCTGGTCCATGTGGTTCTCATCCTAAGACTGCCCTTCTGTGGGCCTCATGAAATCAACCACTTCTTCTGTGAAATCCTGTCTGTCCTCAGGCTGGCCTGTGCTGACACCTGGCTCAACCAAGTGGTCATCTTTGCAGCCTGTGTGTTCATCCTGGTGGGGCCGCTCTGCCTGGTGCTGGTCTCCTACTCGTGCATTCTGGTGGCCATCCTGAGGATCCAGTGTGGTGGGACTCTTCTTTGGCAGTGCCATCGTCATGTACATGGCCCCCAAGTCCCGCCATCCTGAGGAGCTGCAGAAGGTACTTTTTCTATTTTACAGTTTTTTCAACCCAATGCTGAACCCCCTGATTTACAGCCTGAGGAACATAGAGGTCAAGGGTGCCCTGAGAAGAGCACTGTGCAAGGAAAGTCATTCCTAACAGGGTGTGACATTTGAACTGCCAGCCTCCGTTGTCACCTGCACTCTTGATGCCCAATTATTGCATCGATCCAGAAAAGTTTATTACTTTCTTTTTATCTGTGCTTTACTGACAAAAGGGCAAGCCTTTTCTCTTTTTTTGCAGATAAAATTTTAGATATGTTGCATTCATTGGGTTTCTATGAGACGTGGTTTTATCAGATGATTTTTTCTTTTATTTCACAATTACTTTAATATCTGTAAACTAAAAAATTATTTTAATTCATTATCCCAGTCCCAAAAGTTAAATGCAGGCCACTTACTTCTTTAATCAAATGATACAGTTTGGCTCTGTGTCCCCACTCAAATCTCATGTCAAATTGTAATCCCTGTAATCCCCACATGTCAGGGGAGGGGCCTGGTGAGAGGTGATTGGATCATGGGGAGGGATTTCCCCCTTGCTGTTGTCCTTATAGTGAATGAGTTCTCACAAAATCTGATGGTTTAAAAGTGCAGCACTCCCCTCTTTGCTCTCTCTCTCTCTCTCCTGCTCTGCCATGGTAAGACGTGCCTTGCTTCCCCTTTGGCTTCCACCATGATTGTAAGTTTCCTGAGGCCTCTCCAGCCATGTGGAACTGTGAGTCAATCACACCTCTTTTCTTTATAAATTATCCAGTCTCGGGGAGTTCTTTATGGCAGTGCGAAAGTGGACTAATACACCGAACTATATAAACTTACTAATAGCATATGTCATAAGATTTAAAAGAAAATAAAAAGGTTCAGCCAAAGAAGTGATTCCCAAAACCCAGCAGCACACTTGTCCATTCTCACACAATTGCACTTTCCCTGTTAAATAACAATTCAGAGGTACTTAGTTAGTTGTGATGCATGCACCGAGAAATTTTGTGTAAAAATTATTAACTCACATACAGGAGTTAACTAGTAGGCCGAGTGAAGCAACAAACGTAAAAGAAGAGATAAGTCAGGCACGGTGGCTCATGTCTATAACCCCAGCACTTTGGGAGGCTGAGGTGGTTAGATCACTTGAGGCCAGGAGTTTGAGACCAGCCTGGCCTACATGGCAAAACTGGATCTCTACTAAAAATACAAAAATTAGCTGGGCACGGTGGTGCACGCCTATAATCCCAACTATTCTGGTGGCTGAAGAATGAGAATTGCTTGAACCTGGGAGGCAGAGGTTGCAGTGAGCCAAGACTGCGCCACTGCACTCCAGCCTGGGGGACAGGGGGAGACACTGTCTCAAAAAAGAAAACAAAAAAGGAAAAGAAAAAGAAGATATATAGGGTAAAAGAGAGAAGAGAAGCAAAACAACCCTACAGATCGTGTGGGAACAGTGAACAGTGTTTACAAAGTTCAGGGTAAACTCAGCAGCTAATAGCTGGCAAAGAGGCAAAACTGGGCATTCCTGTTGAAAAGGCTGAAAATGAGCAACCAAGAAAACTATTTAGGTTGTTTATGGCTTCTTCAGAAAATACTGAGTGTTGAGCTGTGTATTGTACATATGCACATCTATCTCTAAGCATGATTCTCCAGTGTCTTTTCATCAGCTCTTCCACCTTGGTTAGTCCAGTTGTGGATCATTTCCCTCATTAGAATGTCTTACCCCTGAAAAAGGAAATTTCACCAGACAGTGTAGGTATCTAGCTAGCTCTTCAACCATGGTGGTAAAGTTATTTTTGCTGATCCAATCTATTGTCCTGTTAAAAGGTAAACTGAGGTACAATAAAATTTTAAAGCGTTTACTTGAGCAAATAGCAATTCATGAATCAGACAGCTCCAAACTGTAAGTGGTCCGTGGGCTCCACCAAGGGAATACAAGGGGAGGGCTTTCACAGGGCAACCACGGAACTAAAGCAAATATTCGATTGGTTACCTTTATACAATTGCCTTAATTGGCCTATACTGCTGGAAAGTCTCTAGTTATATAATTTAGTTGGCAGCTTCTGATAGGTTAATCTTAAATTTCATTTTGCTTTAATACAAGTATTTATAAGAAATAGTTCAAGTTAATTTTCACTTGTGTTTGCAAATCAATCTGGGTTAGGTCACTTATGAGGCCTAACTGGCTTTCCCTGCTCCAGGAAAAGTGATTCCATAAGTGACCTAACCCAGCCTGAATCATCTAAGTGATTCTCCATGTCTGGTTTCCATTTTAATTTTCTTTAACAAATCTTCACTACAAATCTAATGGTTAGAGATGGGTCCCCATGCATTTTAGGTGGCTTCCCAAAGTGTCACCTGTAAATTCTACTTTCTAACCTTCCCTAAGATTAGGATGCCATTTGCTTCCAGGGTCTTTCTCAATTTTACTATATGAGAGTCTGTAAAATTTTTCAGAAAAATAAGTGTATGCCTTTCACTTAGGGGTTAACAAGTACTCCACCCAACTCTTCATTATTCCCTGTGACTGAAGATACCCAGGTAGAACTTATTAAACGAAAAAACAAAATGAGTTTTCATAATAATAGCTAACATTTTGACTCACCACTCAATGGCATATGCTACATATTAAGAGCACTTACATGGGTCACTTCATTTAGTCATAACAAATCCAGGAAGAAGGTCCTATTGTCGCTATTTTATGCCTGCACAAACCAGAAAGCAGCAAGTGTCAGACTTTTCCCTAGACAGTCTGGCTCCCAGCCTCTGTACATAGCATATCAATGTAGAATTTTAATATCTATGTTATCAAATAAAGGATAAGGTAAATGTATCCCAAGGCAGAAGTGTTAAAAGAAGGAAGGTTTCTGTACAATCTGATGTATGCCACAGGGAGCTGATCTGTTCTCTCTAAGGCATGGAGGACCAAAGATCATGCAGGAGAGGCTGCTTGTCCTGGATGGTGACTCCTATGTGCTGAGTCACATGAAAGCATTGGACTTCTAGACAAATGCAGAACATGAAGAAGATGAGATTAAAGGTTGTTCTCACTGAGACTGACTATTTAGTTCAGCTAAGACCCAGAACCAAGACACCCATAGTCAGTCTCTCTCTCTCTCTCTCTCTCTCTCTCTCTCTCACACACACACACACACACACACACACTGAGAGCTTATTTACTTTGTGCCAGTCACTGCTCTAAGAATTTTACATGCATTACCTCAATTAATCCTCAAAATAACACTTTGAGTCAGAAGATAATCAATACACTACCTTACATATAAAGAAACTGAGGCACAGAGAGATTAAGCAACTTACCCAGTACCTCACAGCTAACAAGTACCCAGTCCAGGATTGAACTAAGACAATCTGATCCCTGACCCTACAGCCATAACCACTATACAGCATGGACTCTATAGAGCGTATCTGAGGATAAAGATCAGAGAACTCGTGACGGTGAAACAAAACACATAATTAAGACTAAACTATGGATATTCAGCTTTGGATAGAAAGGGGTATACATCTTCTAAAGGAAGCAGCTTGACTCTAAACAGAGATATGAAAAAAGTGGGAGAGTGGTCACAAGAAAGAACTGTGACTCCAAGGGTCAGGGATGCATGGCGGGAGGACTCTGGGGTTGAGCTGGAGAGTGAAACAGACAACACTGAAAGAGAAGATGGACACTGCAGTGTTACAACAGTGCCTTACCAACTGATGAGAATTAAAATGGATGTTTTATAGTATTTTATCTAAAAACAGCCCCAAGACAAAGGAATTCAGTTTCATTATTGATATTAAAATGGTTATAATCTTTTGGGTAGTATTTACCTGAAAGTTTACCTGACAACATTGCTCAGGTAGGTATCAAATTTCACATCTAAGATGGGGAGCTCTGCAACAGTAGGAAATGGAATCTGTTCATTCGTTTATCAGTAACACAAGCATTTCGCCTAGCACTAGTAGACACTCACTAAGCACTAGTTGTACCAATTCATGCACCTTTAACTATCTGCTGAGTACTTAGATACAATCATCAGTGTTAAACTGTCTTCTGATTTCTATATTTTAAAAATTCTTAGGCAGGGTGTGATGGCTCACGCCTGTAATCCCAGCACTTTGGAAGGCCGAGGCAGGCGGATCATGAGGTCAAGAGTTCGAGACCAGCCTGACCAACATGGAGAAACCCCATCTCTACTAGGAATACAAAAATTAGCCAGGCATGGTAGCATGTACCTGTAATCCCAGCTACTCGGGAGCCTGAGGCAGAAGAATTGCTTGAACCCAGGAGGCGGAGGTTGCAGTGAGCCGAGATCACATCACTGCACTCCAGCCTGGGCAACAGAGCAAGATTCCATTTCGGAAAAGAATAAAATAAAATAAAATAGAAATAAAAATAATTTTATTTAAAGAACACAGAATTGTAGAAAGTAATTGTAGCTTAAAAATTATTTAGCAGTTGTGTATGAGACAATATGTTACATATTTTTTATATAATCCTCACATCAACACTGTGAATTCAGTACTAATGATATTCTCATTTATAGAGGTGAAATTCAGGTTTAGAGAATTAATTAATTTACTCAATGTCACAGAAATATCAAGTGGTAGAAACAGAACTTTAGTCCAGTCAATCTACTCTACATTAACTGAGAATCATTCTTTTGGAAAGGGCCTATTGATATTTCTATCTTCAGTGGCTAGACCAGGCCAGTTTCATAGTAGTTACTCAATAAATGTTGACTAAATAAATAAATGAGTAATCATGTAGTCCACACTTCTATATTTTTAAAAAAGGATCTCCATAAAATATGTAATTAAATACAGTGGCAGTCAATGTAATCACTTTTAGCTCCAGATATATTCAGCTTTTGCAAAAGTTTCCTCTGAGATGAATATTAATAAACTACATCTCATCTGTCAGTGGCCACAGAGAAACTGTAAACACATTCAGAAAGGATATTTTGAGGCTAATATAAAACTAGGATGATAAATATTTGTTCCTATTATATAGAACAAAGGTTATAGGTCTTTCAAAAAGAGTGTCCCAAATTGCCAAACCCTATGGTTATAGTATGACACAACGTGATTGTGCTGACACAGTAGCCATGGAGAGAGTGTTCCCCTCCTCTCTCTTGCAAAAGAGTAAGTATTAGATGCTGTAATTACTGAAAATGATACAGATGACACTCTGGGAGTGGAAGTCAGTTCATGCGCCACCTTAAATTGGCCCCCATGGTGTCCTTGGTATGTAGAGTGAGCATTGCCATCACTGACCTGTAGGACTATTCTTTACTCTTTGCTAGATAATGTAGACCGGCGTTTCTCACATGTCAATGTGTATGTTAATCATTCAGGGATCTTGCAAAAGTACAGGTTCTGATTCAACAGGTCCAAATGAAATAGGCAGAGATTTGCATTTCTTATCATCTCTCATACCTTGCTGATGCTGCGGATCCACAGACCACACTTTGAATATTAATCATATAGAGACTCATTGTTAAATCTATGGTTCCTAAGAAAAAGTGAAGGTCAGGCACAATGGCTTACATCTGTAGTCCAGCACTTCGGGAGGCTGAGGCAGGAGGACTGCTTGAGCCCAGGAGTTTGAGACCTGCCTGGGCAACATAGTGAAACTCTGTCTCTACAAAAAACTTCAAACATAAAAAAAATTAGCCAGATGAGGTGGCACACGCCTGTGGTTCCAGTTGCTTTTCAAAAGCTGAGATGGGAAAATTGCTTGAGCCTAGGAGGTTGAGTTTGCAGTGAGCCATGGTTGCGCCACTGCACTCCACCCTAGGTGACAGAGTAAGACCCTGTCTCAACAGAGGAAAAAAAAAAAAAGAAAGAAAGAAAAGAAAAAAGTAGGAGAAAAACAAGACTTGGAATGCTGTCTCAGAGTTCTGATGTTTTCCCGGACCGTATCTATTTTTCTTGCCTTCTCGATGAACTTTGATTAAGAGCCCTGCTTCCATTTGATTTGCTGTTTTGGTTTTTGTTTCCTTTTTTACCTGTCTCTGTTTATTTGTTTGTTTTTAAGTTTTGTAATCCTGTTGGGTCAAGAGAAGAGGTTCACTACTAGGCACAGCCTGGTTTGGTCCTCAGATGACTGGCTCAGAGCCAGGACATCTGGATTCTCTAAAATATTGAAAAAAACCAAAGGTGTTTTTCCTACTCTTTTGCTTATACTCACATAGTCACTCAACAATTTACTTCTAACAACAGATATGTTGAGGTCTTTCCCCACACACCTAGCAATCTGCAGTGGACACCGACTGCATGCCCTAAAAATCAGTTCAATTCTGACACTATCTACTGGAAGACAGTGTCAGATCCCACAAGCCTGTTCCCCCACCCAACACTTCAGATGACAATTGCAAGCCTCAGGTTGTGACCTGTGCTTCTGATCAACTGGCTATACAATGAGATTCTCATGCCCCCGCCTCCTTAGGTTCAATTAATTTGCTAAGGTGGCTCACAGAACTCAGGGAAACACTTTACTTATGTTTGATCATTTACTACAAAGGATATTAAAAAGGATATAGATGAACATCCAGATGAGAGAGATGCATCTGGTGAGGTATGGGACAGGGGGCATGGGGCTTCGTGTCCTCTCTGGGCACACCACCCTCCAGGAACCTCCATGTGTTCAGCAGTCCAGAAAGTCTGCAAACCCTGTTTGGTTTTCTGTAAAGCCTCCATTACACAGGCATGATTGATTACATCATTGGCCATTAGTGATCAACTCAAACTTCAGGCCCTCTCCCCTCCCTAGAGGTTGGGGTATAGGCTGAAAGTCCCAACCCACTAAACACGCCTTTGTTTTTGTGGTAACCAGCCCCTATCCTCAAGTTATTTCGGAGCTCCCTGCCAGCAGTCATCTCATTAGCATATCATCTAAGTCCATTTTGCGTTGCTGTAACAGAATGTCACAGACTGGGTAATTTATTTAAAATCGAAATCTATTTCTCAGAGTTATGGAATCTGGGAAGTCCAATATCAAGGTGTCAGCATCTGCAGAGGGCCTTCTTGCCGCATGGTGAAAGGTGAGAGGAGGAGAGAGGGACAAACTTGCTTTTGTAACTAACCCAATCTCCACGTAACAAATCCACTCCTGAGACAACACCATTAACCCATTCGATAAGTCAGAGCTTTCATGACCTAATCACCTCTTAGAGGTCCTACCTTTCAACACTGTTACACTTGGGATTAAGTTTCCAGCTCATCAACTTTGGGGAACACATTCAAACCACAAGACATACAAAAGATACTCTTATCACTCTGGGGATTCCTAGAGTTTTAGAAACTGTATGCCAGGAAATGGGGACAAAGACCAGATATATACTTCACAAAATTATGGGTTTCTCTCCCAATTTACAACTTACTCACTGCATGACCTCAGAGAAGTCACTTAATTCCTCCGCACATTGGTTTCCCCACATATAAAATGAAATGTTGGACTAGACGATTGTTATGTTTCTTTTAGTTCTCAAATGCTATGCCTTTTTATTAACTTCCTAGAATGTATGTTGTTTTTCTTTTACATAGGAGACAAAGTTCAATGGAATTTTTTAGAATAATTGAATATAACGAACTCCTGAGCCTCACAAATAGTAGGAATTCAAGAGTAACCACAAAATTAATTAATGATTTCAATATATTTATGCTGTAAGAATTGTGAATGGCATAAGACTTGGAGAATAAGGCAAAAGAAGTTTCACATTAACTGTCCTCTCTAAGGAAGTAAAAACAGTTTCATTACCCTATTTGAAAAAGATTAAGAATAACTTTTACTTACAAAGTTTCCAAGATCTGTACATTTGTGGTGGCATTGCACAAATGATATAATAAGATAAATTCCTGGCATTTATTGAGTACTTGTTTCATATCAAACAGTGTTTTACACATATGCATTCATGTCTAATCTAATCTAATCTTCATAACAATTGCCAGAGGGAAGTATTACTACTATATGCAATTTTTACATGAAAAAAATCAAGGCACAGAGATGTTAAGTACACCTCACACAGCTAGTAGGTAGCACAGGAGGACTTTTCTCTAGTGGTTCCAAAGGCCAGAGACTATGTCTGTAACTATTATACTAAGTTATACCAGTCTCCTGCAGCCTGGACCTATGGAGTCTTTTCTACTCATGATTAACTAAAGCTTGAGTAAAATGAGCCTGAATTTTTGACTGGCCTGAAATTTCATCCTAAGAAAGAGGATAGTAATGCAGCTAATATATTTTAACATATATGAAAAAGCCAAAAGGGTAATACAGAAATCCATGAGAAAAATTGACAAAAATATGTAGATACAGACAACAGAATAAACACAACATACCAATAAATATGACAATGTCATCTACCTCAATCAGGAAATCTACTTTAAAATGAGATATCATTTTTTTACCCAATAGATTGTGAGGGGAAAAAGGTGTTACATGTGATGTTGATGACACTAAACACATTGTTGGTGGAGGTATAAATTGGCACACATTTTGGATTTAAAAAACTGAAATTATTTACCCAACATTTAAAACACGCATACCAATTATAAGAATCCTTTCTACCAAAATACTTACATATGTAACTGCACAAAGAAATGTGTACATGGATTTGGTATTAAACTGATTTCAAAAATTCAAAAGATCAAGTGTTAATTAATTTTGAAATTACTAAATTATGAAAAATATGTTACACAGCTATTAAGTAGAATAAGTATTATCTAAAATGAGCTGCAATGAAAATAGCTCATCAAATATAGGTAAATGAAGAAAGCAAGTAACATTTTTATCACACTTTCTCATTTGTGCAGAGAAGTCTCCCAGCTATACATAAATTCATACACCTGTATATGTGCATGTGAGTACACATGTATGCACATGTATTTACATATATCTGTATTTAATTTCATGATCAGGAATGATGCACGTTAAGCAGTCAACAGAAGTTGCTTTAGGAAGAGGAATGAGCTATGAGAAATAAACACTTCTATGTTTTTTCAATAATATTACAGGAAACATATATTAATGTTAGAATTTTTAAAAAGCCTTTTCTCAAAAATCTTCTGGCCCCTTAAGTGCTCAAAACAGTGCACATTTCTCATATATTTTAGAAAAAGCCAAAATTAAGCAATTATTAAAAGCAGTTTAGAATTTTGCTGGATTGTGCTAAATTGTATCAAAGTGTTTCCTCAAAAATATCATTTTGTATCACTTATATTATTATTCAATATTAGGCTATGTTTAAGTAACTTATATTATTAATTAAAATAATTTGCATGAGAAACCAAATAGCACACAAAATAAACCATGATTCCTCAGACTCTAAGATAACTGCATGACATAAGCAAAAAGTCAACATTTCATGCCATATGTGGATTTTTTTATAATATGAATTGATCTCGAGAGCTCCTAATACTTTAGCTTTAGAGTTACCGGCCCTTCCTCATTCCTCTCATTGCCATAATAATGTTAAATATGTATTAGGTAGGATAAACAGCAACAGGTAAACTCCCAAATCACAGTGATTTAACAAAAGAAAAGTTTACATCTTGCTCATGTAAAGTGCTAGGCAGGTATGAGAGACAGCCTTCCACAGAGTGATGCAGGGACCCAGGCACCTTCTATCGCATGGTACCACCATCCTAGGGCCTTGTGCGTCTTCACTTCCAGCCAGTGATGGGAAGGTCAAACATGGAGGAGGCATACCCTCCTCCTCCACGCATGCCCTCCTCCCACTGCAGCCCGGGAAGCTGCACAGGTCTCTTCTGCTTGTATACCTTTGATAAGAACATGACCCCACCTAAATGTAAAAGGGTTGGGAAATGCAGTCCCATACTGGCAGTTAAGTCCAGAGACAATAGTGCAATGGAAGAAGACCCCACATCTTTTAAGGAATTTGTCTTAGTTAAAGTAACACTAGCAGCTGAAACAAATAAACCCTAAAAGTAAGTCCTTACAATTATTTCTCTTTTGTTCCCTGTTTCTAAGGCTTTCAAATGAACTTCTGCCCTTTTAACTCACAATTATTCATGACATATAATAGAGAACATTAGCATTTTCACTCTCTCCTCATTCCATTTCTGTCATGCCATCCTGAAGACATATTTACCTATGTCTTGTCTGTTTCTCCCAACATTATTAGCTGCTCTTTTATAAAATATCTCTTATGATAATTTACTCTGTAAGGTGGCTAAATTCACCCATCTTATGTTAGCTTTTGTCTGTATTAGTCTCAAATGAACTCTGTGGTCAAATTCTACAAGTACTTTAAGCATAGAAGTTATAAATGTCCAGTGAAATCAAATGCCCAATGCTGGCAGATCATGTAAATGTTTCCATTCGTGTGCTGAGTTCTTTCATTCACTTTTGTGTCATTTTTACTCTCTTCAAGATAAGTTATTTCAGTTTAATTTTAACAGAATATGGACAATTTTGAGTTATAGTGATTGATATTTATGTTCCTAAAGGGTTTGCCAAGTTTTTGTTTGTGTGACATTCCCAAATGTTATACTTACTTACTAATTATTTTCTATCTTTTTAATTTTTATACCCTCAAATGTGTGTTCATAACCAATGTTCCTAAGGTTTTGGTTATATAGAAATGGATTCTCTCAAGCTAGTATTCACAGAACTTTCAGTTGACTACTTGCTCCCAAAAGGCAGTTTCCTGATTTCTGCATACTGGCATATCATGCAAACATCTGTAAGCATATCCATTTCTACTAAGATGTGACTGTTCTGTCTGTGTTATTTTCATCCATATACTTTTGTTTTGTATATGTTTACTCTGACCATTTTTAGAAGCTAAAGCTGCTTCAACTTGATATGTGATAAAACATGTAATTTTAGGTGATGCGTTTCCTAAATTAGTTGGTTTGGCATCATAAAAACCTTATATTTAACTTGTTTTAGCTCACATTTTCTGTTTTCTACCTTAAAATGACTTTTTCTAACTGATGTTCACATGAGGAATACAGCAAAAAGTTCTAAAATTATTGTTTTCATAGGCTTACCGTCATTTGTATCAGTTGCACTTCACCAGGGTGTGGAAACAAAACTAAAGAAGAAAAGACTAATGTTTATGGATGGCCTACTAGGCGCTAGACTTTTCATATGATCAGGAGCATTTTTGTGTGTCCCCAAAGCAATTCACTGTGGACATATACAGCTGGAACACAGGTGAGCATGTTCTCACACCGTGATTACCTGTGCAAGATTTTCCTTGGGTTTATTCCATAACTCCAGCAGGTCAAAGACCACATTGTAATAAAGTCATTAGTTTGTAAATTGCATAATTGCTTAATGTAAAATTCATAATCCTCCTATGTCCAGTAGAAGAAAGAAACAGAAATAAACATGAGAATACCTTTGACCAGCAAATATCTCCACCCTCCAGGGAGAGGTAGTAGCTTCTAGGGAAGCCACCTTGGAGAGGGTCCTGTCTTCCCCTGAAGTGGGCTCTGAATCCAGCACTCTTCCCCCTTCAGAATAAAGATTAGAGAATAATTCTAATACATGATCTACAGCGGTGGTTTGTGTCTTAGGAGACCCTCCCTTCAAGCAGGTTCTAATAAGCCCCACTGGGACACCTTGGCCCCTCCGTGGACTCCCCAATCTGCTCTGTGTCTCTCTCACCAGCTCCCCAAAGCATCTCCACACCTCAGAGGGTCACTTGGAATCAGCTAACTTTTCAGGCTCCTTTCTTCCCAGTTCTGCTGCAACACAAGGAACCCAGATTACATCAGGGAGAGGCTGAGCTCCAGAGGTTCCTGCCAGGAGCTTATTCATTGTCACACTGTTCCTGCTTCCTGACAGATTGAACCATCTGGAGATTGGGGAACAAGGGCAGTGCTAGGATTCATGAAATCCAAGCATTCCGGGACTGTAATGAGAGATGTTGTCTCAGAGGTGTGCTCTGTGGCTGTCTGTGTTTCTTAATTGTGCATCCTGCTGGGGTTAAGAACAGAAATAGAAAAAGACAATTGTCTTATCTCTCCTTCCCTGAGGAGGTGAGCATGCATGAGGTTTCATGGCCCAGCTCCTCCAGTGATCCCTCAGCTGTCAACCAGGCTGAGCACATCAGAGAATAACACCTCCTTTGCTGAGGATTCTCATACATTTTCAATCAGAAACAGAAGCAAAGATTCTGCAGCTCCCACAGAAACTCCCAGAAACCTTCAGGTGCTTCACTCTTCTGCGATCCTTGAGTCCAAATGTGGGAGCTAACCAGGCTGCCTTTCTTTACTTTACCATGAATTCTTCCTAGACATGTTGTCTAACTCCTACTCTTGGTTAACTCTCACATCCACTACAAACATTGGTAAGGAAATTCACTCCTCTCTAAATATGTGCTGATTATTTTTCTGTAATGGGGATAGTTTGAGGGAAAGTTCATGCTAACTTCTTTGAACATATTATCACAAATAATGTAAGTATATAGAGAATTAAGCTAATTTTGTTTTATATGATGGAGAAGTAACTGCATGAAAGCAACAAAGCTATAAACATTGATGCCAGATTTAAATAAAAAAAGAATACATCACTCATAAAATTAACATGTTGATTTCCACTGCTATAATCAAGACTATGAAAGCTTTAGAGGATCATGGTTTTAAGGGACTATTGTGAACCTTGAAGAGGCAATGCTTGTCAGGTTCATACAATCTTCAGGCTACTCAAGAAATTGTTAAAGACTGATGATAATTGATCTCAGCTATTGAGTGTTCACTGCACACCAGGAATGTGTTCAATGTATAACTCATATCATCTCAATTAATCCTCACAACCACCTCATAAAATCGTTACTATCACTTTTCTCCTTTTTTAAAAAAAGGAAACAAGCTTGGAGAGGCTAAGATATACACTCAAGGTCATATAACTAATAAATGTGCATCTAAGCCCATGGCTCTTTAATTGCTTTTTTGTTTGTTTGTTTGTTTCAGTGTTTACTCTGCCTGAGAACCTGATTCACAGCAGAATGTGGAGAGCTCATTAATGTTTTGCTTTCTCATATTTAATCAAATTGATATCTAGTTAGTCAATAAATAATTATTGAACACCTACCATATTCCAGGCACAATATAGAGTCAAATGTATTTCACCTTTTTAGTTACTTACTAGATCAATAAATCAAATGAATGAATGAATGCCTAAATATCATTTTTTGGGTTTTTTTGTTGTTTGTTTGTTACCATCCTTGGACTGAATCTGGAATTTCTGGCTTGCTTAAATCTTGCCTACTATAATTGGCATACTTGAAAGACACTTCTATTTCTCCACCCCTTCCCCCATCCCATCGTTTCTTTCATTCTATGTGATACAAAGAAAATCTCATTTGTGGAAAAAGTGAAAGAATATACTAAAAATAAAATTAAATATAACCCAGTTGCAAACATAACATTCAGGCATTGTATATGTTTTAAATGATATATATGTACAAGTTAGCCATTTAAACATTTGGCAAATTATTTTATGACTAACAAATTATCCAACATCACCATGATTTCTATGTAAATATGTAAGACTGAAATCATTTCTTTGCACATGACCAAACCTGTCTACTTCAAAAAGTAAAACTTAAGATCTGATGAGCTGACACACTCCTAATGAGTCACATCATATTCTTTAAATGAAAGCTATTTTTAAATCCTCAGGTCAAACAAAGTATTAGATGGTTTACTTCCAAGTAATAAGAATATTTGAGGCCAGGTGCAGTGGCTCATGTCTGTAATCCCAGCACTTTGGGAGGCTAAGGCAGGAGGACTGCTTGAGGCCAGTAGTTTGAGACCAGCCTGGACAACACAGTGAGACCCTATCTCTAAAAAAAATGTTTTTTTAAAAAAGGTATCCAGACATGGTAGAGCACACCTGTAATCCCAGCTACTGGGGAGGCTAGGTGGGAGGATCACCTGAGCCTAGGGACGTTGAGGTTGCAATGAACCATGATTGCGCCACTGCACTCCAGCCTAAGTGACAGGACGAGACCCTGTCGCAAAAAAAAATGACAATGACAAAGGGGGGTTATGAGTGTATTAGTTGTAACAAATATTCTTTTTTTCTTTTTCTTTTTTTTGAGACAGGGTCTCACTCTATTGCCCAGGCTGAAGAGCAATGGCTCTAACATAGCTCACTGCAACCTCAAACTCCTGAGCTCAAGCAACCTCCTGCCTCAGTCTCCCAAGCAGCTAGAACTACAGGCTTTTGCCACAATACCCAGCTACTTTTTTTGTTTCTGTTTTACTTTTTTTTTGTTTTTAGAGACAGAGTTTCACTACGTTGCCCAGGCTGGTATTAAACCACTGGCTTCAAGCAATCCTCCTGCCTCAGCCTCCCAAAGTGCTGGGATTACAGGAATAAGCCACCGCACCTGGCCTCAAATATTTCTGATTCTTGGAAATAAACCATCTGATACTTTGCCTGACCTGAAGATTTAAAAGTAGTTTTCATTTTAAGAATGTTGTGTGACTCATTAGAAAGGAGTTTGTCAGCTCATCAGATCTTAAGTTTTACCTTTTGAAGTAGACAGGTTTGGTCATGTGTAAAGAAATGATTTCAGTCTTACATTTAGAAACCATGGAGACATTGGTTAATTTATTAGTCGTCAAATAATTTGCCAAGCTTTTAAATGGCTAACTTGCACATATATCATTTAAAGCAAGCTTTTCCAACCTGTGGCCCATAGGCAGCTTTGAATGTGGCCCAACACAAATTCATAAACTTTCTTAAAACATTATATAATTTAAGTTCGCCAGCCATCATTAGTGTCAGTGTATTTTATGTGTGACTCAAGACAATTCTTCTTTCAACGTGGCCCAGGGAAGTCAAAAGATTGGACACCGCTGAAAGTATACACAATGCCTGAATGTTATGTTTGCAACTGGGTTATATTTGTTTATTTTTTTTAGCCTCTCCTTTCACTTTTGCCAACCCTTTGGTAAATTTAATCCATTTGAGTTTAAGTAAGATGTTCTTTGTATCATGCAGAATGAAAGAAACTATGGGGGAGGAAAAGAAAATAAGTGTCTTTCAAGTATTCAGATTATAGTAGACATTCCAGATTCAGTCCAAGGATGGTTAAAAAAGCTATTTATGCATTCATTCATTTATTCATTTGTATTTATTGATTAATTTGTTCACACAATAAGTATTTACTGTCAGATTACAAAAGTGAGAGCACCTTGTCCTTGTTCATGAGGAGTGTGTTAACAACCCAGTCCCTGTAAAAGAAATCAGGGTTTCAACCCATGTGGCAACTATCCTTAAAGAAGCTGAGGGTCTTCACTAAGCTCTCCTTTCTTCTCGACTCTCCATCCAGCTTTCAACGAAATTCATACTTGTGCATAGCGGACTTTTTTCTTTGTATAATCATTTGGGAAGTTACAAAAGGAAATAATGAAAGACTTAATAAAGAAATTAAGATTTTTATAAGATGTAGACTGGGTACATGGTTCATGCCTACAATCCCAGCACTTTGGGAGGCCAAGATGGGAGTAGCACTTGAACCCAACAGTTTGAGACCAGCCTGGGCAACATAATAATACATTGTCTCTAAAAAAATATTTATTAAAAAAAATGAGCTAGGTATGGTGGCATGCACCTGTAATCTCAGCTACTTGGGAGGCTGAGGTGGGAGGATTGCTTGAGCCTGAGATGTCAAAACTCCAGTGAGCCGTAATCAGACCACTGCATTCCAGGGCAGGTGACATTTATTTATAAATAAATAAATAAATAAAGATTTTTATGAGGTGTAAATTCAAATGCATTTCACAACCAAATATTTTCATATGCTTTGCATATTTTCCAATTAAATGTAGAAGGTTGGCCTAGCGGAGTATTTTTTTTTAATAGAATCCTGAAAAAAATATATAAGCCTTGGTCATGTGCTATGAAATTACAATATTCACTAGAATTTATTTGTGCCTTGCTGATAATAATCAATGATTTATTGATAATGCTTATAAGTATACAATCATTTGTTACCACTGGAAAAGAATCCAGTGGGGACGTTCTGCAGTGTTCCAATTAGATGATTTTTTAAACTTTCTTTAACTTTTAAGTTCAGGGGTACAAATGCAGTTTGTTACATAGGTAAATTTGTGTCTTGGGGGGCTTGTTGTACAAATTATCTCATCACCCAGATATTAAGCCTAGTACCCATTAGTTATTTTTCCTGGTCCTCTTCCTCCTGCCACCCTTTGCCCTCTGATAGGCCCCAGTGTGTGTTGTTCCCCTCTATGTGTCCATGTGTTCTCATCATTTAGCTCCTGCTTATATGTGAGAACATTAGGTATTTGGTTTTCTGTTCCTGCATTAGTTTGCTAAAGATAATGGTCTCCAGGTCCATCTATGTCCATCAAAGGACAAAAGCTCATTCCTTTTTATGGCTGCATAGTATGCCATGGTGTATATGTACCACATTTTCTTTATCCAGTCCATCGTTGGTGGACATGTAGGTTGATTCCATGTCTTTGCTCCAATGACAGCTGGACCAGGGTCTTATCCAAAGCAGCACATTTCCTTACATTAATCCGGAGAAGTTTTTTCTTCGGAGATAAGCAGGTACAGGTTCAATGGCTCAGCCTCAGGTTACTTTTGCCTAGCAAAGGCACTAAAAAAAAATTTGCACCCACAAAATACTAGATTTCTACAAGGTATACTGAGGAAAATGTTATCTAGGACTTAAGGATAAAACCCCAAATGTTATTTGGCACATCACCAATTCACAAATACCAATTACCTGACTGACAATTTTATTGCTATAATAATCTGCAAAATAATGAAGTCACTAAATTAGCTCTTTGCAAAAAAGTAGTTTTAATTAGACACCTGTAAAGTATTTAGCAATTCTTATGTTGCTGAAACACAGCTACTTTTTTATGAATGGTCATTTCTGGTGTTTTTGAAAGACACTTCATTTTAATTTTTTCTCCATAGTTTCTTTTATTCTACATGGTAAAAAGAACATCTTACTTAAACTCAAATGGATTAAATGTACCAAAGGGTTGGCAAAACTGAAAGGAGAGACCAAAAAAGAAATGATATATAACCCAGTGGCAAACATAACATTCAGGCATTGTGAATGTTTTAAATGATATGTTTGTACAAACTAGCCCTGAAAAATCTAATATCTACAAATTGTATGAGTTGTTCTTCAAAACCAGTTTTCGGTAAATCAGTAACTGTGCATCAATCAGTAGATTAACTGCCAAATCGCCAATTATCGGTTCCTATTTATGACTCATTGTAAAATAAAGATTGCAATTAGAACACATTTGTAGCACATCCATTAGTTCCTTCTCAGGAACCCAAACAATCACAATGTCATTAAAGTTGCTTTTTATCTTTCTGCTTCTTCTGTTATTATATAAACTGCTCCAGAGTACAAAGGTGGATTTCAGATGTTGAAAGCAAAACAGTTGATATTTCTACTGAGAAATTGGGATTACATCATCTTTTTTTCTAGGACCACTCTAATTTCCATATTTGGAGTTCTTCCATTACTGATTATTTCTACACTTCAGGAATTCTCTTAGTAATTTTTATATGTGCAGCTTCAAGACAATCCTTATTAGATGGTCATTTTACTTCCACTTTTGGTACGACACTCTTTCTTCCCATGATGTGTCAATGGCTCTATGTATCCTATCATTTGTGACACAATGCCTTCTATAACGCTGGATATTTACAATCGGTAATTAACTTAACGTGTAGCTAAATCACTCATGTTAAAAGTTTATCTTTTAAAAATGACTAAATTCATAAAATAATCTCTAGGTGTTTTTGACAATCTGGTCCTAAGCGATCTTTTTCTTTTTCACAGGGAAATGGGGGAAAATCAGACAATGGTCACAGAGTTCCTCCTACTGGGATTTCTCCTGGGCCCAAGGATTCAGATGCTCCTCTTTGGCCTCTTGTCCCTGTTCCATGTCTTCACGCTGCTGGGGAACGGGGCCATCCTGGGGCTCATCTCACTGGACTCCAGACTCCACACCCCCATGTACTTCTTCCTCTCACACCTGGCTGTCGTCGACATCACTTATGCTTGCAACATGGTGCCCCAGATGCTGGTGAACCTCCTGCATCCAGCCAAGCCCATCTCCTTTGCTGGCTGCATGATACAGACCTTTCTCTGTTTGACTTGTGGACATAGCGAATGTCTCCTGTTGGTGGTGATGTCCTACGATCGTTATGTGGCCATCTGCCACCCTCTCCGATATTCCATCATCGTGACCTGGAGAGTCTGCATCACCCTGGCCATCACTTCTTGGACATGTGGCTCCCTCCTGGCTCTGGTCCATGTGGTTCTCATCCTAAGACTGCCCTTCTGTGGGCCTCATGAAATCAACCACTTCTTCTGTGAAATCCTGTCTGTCCTCAGGCTGGCCTGTGCTGACACCTGGCTCAATCAGGTGATCATCTTTGCAGCCTGTGTGTTCTTCCTGGTGGGGCCACTCTGCCTGGTGCTGGTCTCCTACTCACACATCCTGACGGCCATCCTGAGGATCCAGTCTGGGGAGGGCCGCAGAAAGGCCTTCTCTACCTGCTCCTCCCACCTCTGCGTGGTGGGGCTCTTCTTTGGCAGCGCCATCATCATGTACATGGCCCCCAAGTCCCGCCACCCTGAGGAGCTGCAGAAGGTACTTTTTCTATTTTACAGTTTTTTCAACCCAACACTGAATCCCCTGATTTACAGCCTGAGGAATGCAGAGGTCAAGGGCGCCCTGAGGAGAGCATTGTGCAAGGAAAGTCATTCCCAACTGGTGTGACATTTGAATCTCCAGCCTCAGTCATCTCCTGGAATATTGGTACCAAATACCACCTAAGTTCACTACTCTTTATATCTGAAACTGAATGAACCAAGCGACTCTACAAAGCATTCCTTTTTCCTGCCTGGGAAGTATTTAGTTTTTGATGCATTTGTTATACTTAACATTTTTTAATTTAACTGCTTATTGAGTTGAGAATGTTGGGTAAAGATTTATTTTGTACACTGCTCTGAGTCCAGAAGTTTAAAACAGACACCCCACCCATGACTTAGTCAGGTATGCTCCGTAGTAGTGGAATAGCAGTTATTACCAGACAGAGTCATACCTATAAAAAGTTTTTTAAAATACAGCCACAGGCAGAGACTCCAGAACCCACTGATACCTCTGTCCATTTTCATCTTTATTTGGATGCTTCCCCTCAATTGTACTTCCTCTCTAAGTAGTAAATATACCTAAAAGCCTACTTCAGCTTGGAAGGAAATTGATTTTTATAAAATCCTACAAAGTGTCTGACAATTTTTGTTGTCAGAGAGAGTGAATCCATAAACATTCAGCTGGCAATATGAAGCAATTACACAACAAAATCCACTTTCCAACCTGCCTTGAGATTGTGATGGTCATTTGTTTCTACTCTTCTCACCTCCTCCAGGGGACTGTCTATGATTCTCTCTGAATAAGCAAATGCTCTTCACTTAGAGGAAGTTAGTAAGTACCACCACACAACTTTTCACTGCTGGGGATGAATGGAAAGCCCCACACAGAGACAATTCAATGGAAAAAAGGGTTTTAATAATAACATTAATATTTAGCATTATTATAAATTACTCTGTGCCATCCACTGCACATTTGATAGGTACTTTATAGAGATAACCTCAGTTTATCATTATAGTCAATCCATTTCCCATTATTGTCCCATTTTATAGATGCAAACTTTAAGCAGATGGAAAATGTTAGACTCAAACCCAAACAATCTGGCTCCCAAGCCTTCTCTACTTAACCAGGACAATGTAGGACTTTATTAGCAACATACCTAATGTAGGATATGTTAGGTGAATGTGGGTTTCTTCTCCGTCTAGAATGTGCCCTGATGAGGCCAGGAGAGTCAGAGATTATTTATGGAAGTCTTCTTATCCTGTTTGACGAGTCCTATGGCCATGGCTGCAAAAGAGGTTAAGAGATTCAGAGGAACACAGAACACAGAGTGGTTGGGAGTGGAGGCTGTTCTCAATGAGATTAGAGAGTTAGTTTAGAACTGTACTTGGTTCTGGGTGGTGAGATCCAGAACAGAAACATCTCTAGTTCACATACAACACTCACATGCTCACGCAAATGCACACGCACACACACATACACACACACACACACACACACACACACACACACTAAGTGCTTGGTGAAGCACCATTCCAAGAACCTTACAAGTAAGAGCTCTTTACGTCCTCATAAAAACCCTGAGGTAGAGATTATTACTACTGTTTTTAGGTGAGAAAACAGAGCTACAGAGAGATTATATCATCTAACCAATGCTCCCAGCTAATAAGTACCTAGTCCAGAATCAAACTTAGGCAATATGACTGCTGAACCCATAATCATAACCATTATATAAGTAATTACACAACAAAATCCACTTTCCAACCTGCCCTGAGATTGTGATGGTCATTTGTTTCTACACTTCTCACCTCCTCCGGGGGACTGTCTATGATTCTCTCTGAATAAGCAAATGCTCTTCACTTAGAGGAAGTTAGTAAGTACAAATCAAAGAGATCATGAAATTTCCAAAGATGAAGAGGAGGAGAGATGAAAAGCAATTTTCAATCTCTAGCCAAAGATAGGCATTAGGCTCCAGACAGAAAAGTACTTAAAGCTGGAAAAAACAAACAAACAAACAAACAAACAAACACACCAGCTTTTTTTATACTGGTGCATGAAACGAGATGAGGTAGCAAGAAGGGACTGTGACTCCAAGGGTCAGAGATGGAGGAGGAGCCTGTTGACGGTCAGGATGGTGAAACCAAAAACAATGGATAAATGAGGTTGACATTGCAGTTTTAAGTTGACGGCTCATCAATTGAAGAACATTAGAAAGTGTTTTTGTAAATTATCTAGCCGGGCATGGCAACATGTGCCTGTAGCCCCAGCTATTTGGGAGGCTGAGGTAAGAGGATCACTTGAGCCCAGGATTTTGAGGCTTCAGTGAGTCACAATCGCACCACTGCATTCCAACCTGGGTGACAGAGTGAGACCTTGTCTCCAATAATAATAATGATAAAATAATTAATTTTTAAAAAATTACCCAAACTGGATATACCATTTGTAATTCCACTGCTGCCGAACAGTTTTTAAACAGTTGTTTAGTTTCATGGCAGATGTTGCGTATTGTGATGGAACCAATACTGGGAAGGGATACATTCAAGTGGCAGGACGAAGATGAAGAGTTCTAATACCAGGGATAGGTTTCAAGGGATGAATGCTCCCCTGGTAACAGAGGAACGGCAGGAAATCACGGTGTGCAGAAACCATGCTCAGGCAGTTGCCTGTGCGGACCCTAAATTCAGTGTGTGCAGTCCTCTCTTAGGATTGGCCCAGGCATCCAGGAAGCCCACAATACTGCCTACCCCTTAAATACACAAGGTGCGTACCAGAGGCCCTGGTTCTAGTTCCAGGTGTATCATTTGCTAGCTGTGTTTTTTTGCAGAGAACTCCCTTAAACTGCCTGAGCTTCAGTCCTTCATCTGAAAATTATGCATATGGAAGCTGTTTAGGACACCCCAGAGTGCCACTGAAAACCAAAAGCAAGATGCAAATGGACACATTTTTTTTTTTGAAGTCTTAAAAGTGCTATGTGAACATAAGATAAACTGTTATTATTACCATGCTGTCAGAAGTTATTTTAATCCTGTCAGGGTTGCTAAACTTTCTGATCTGGAACCAAAATTTCTCTTTAAACAGGAAGAGCATTGGTGCTGGTAGGTCACCTACGCCTGGCTTCCCCATGTCTCCCCTAGAGGCACAGAAGGCCACTTGGTCTTGGAGGGCACAGCCAGACCAGGAGCAGGAGCTGCGGCCCAGACTCAGGGAACCTCTGTGAGTCAGCTGGCAAAGACTCCTGGGGAGCCTCTCTCTCTTTGAATCTGGTCCCAGCCCATTCACTTGGAAAAAACAGGAGACTTCTCCCAAAGTCAAGGAATTCAGATTTTGGTTTTGGTTTCCAACTTTTTGTAATCCTCAACCTGGGATTTACAGTATATGTCTTGATTATGTTTCATTCATCTCTTCACAAAGGGAAGGACAAGCATTGGTTCATCTCTTTACATCTGTACATTCCTAGCACAGAGTGAGTACTCACAAAAAGCATAAGGAATACATAGAGGACACTTTAGCTATCTGTTGACTATGTCCGTTGACCCCATTTCCAAATTTTCAGTGTTGAGCCATCTTCTGATTTCTAACCTTCTTTAAATCCCTCTCATTTTAGGTTATAGTACATTAGAAATTTAATTGTACCTGATGATTACTGAGCACTTACTATGTGGTCAGCACCGCATAAAATGCTTTAGTATAATTCTTACATCAAATCTGTGGAGTAGGTACTAATACTATCCTAACATTACATGGGGAAAATAAAGTTTAGTGAAATTAATTAATGTATGCAAGGTTGCCAAATCATTCAGTGGTAGAAACATGACTCAAGACCAGGCAGTCTGGCTGCAAATAAACTCTGAACCACTCTCTTGTAGAGGACCTCCTGATACTCATCTGCTGAATGGTTGGCAACAGGCCTGTTCACAGTAGACACTCAATAAACTGACTAAATGAACAAATGAGTGGTCATTGTGTTCAAATTTCTACTCACATCATATAGGCCTAGGGATGAGTTACCCTTTATTCTTTTTATTTATTTATTTATTTGAGATGGAGTCTTGCTCTGTCGCCCAGTCTGGAGTGCAGTGGCACGATCTCGACTCACTGCAATTTCTGTCTCCCAGGTTTAAGTGATTCTCCTGCCTCAGTCTCCCGAGTAGTTGGGACTACAGGCATGCACCACCACATCAGCTAATTTTGTATTTTTAGTGGAGGGGGCATTTCACCATGTTGGTCAGGCTGGTCTCAAACTCCTGACCTCAGGTGATCCACCCACCTCGGCCCCCCCAAAGTG